ATTAATTAAATTTATGACATTTTTTATAATAATTTATGGTTTATGGTTTTGTTAAAATTAAAAAAAAAACAAAAAAAATTTCTAAAAAAAATCAAACCGGGCCGGCCCGGTGTCCGGCCCGCTCAGACCCGGGCCCGTGCCCGGGCCCGGCCCGGACCACCCGTGCCCGGGCCCAGTTTTCCGGGCCGGGCCGGGCCGGGCCGGCCCGGATGGACAGCCCTTCTACTAGATATAAAATAAGACCCCGTAAGATTTTTTTTTTATGTTCAACACTAACGAAATGAATATTACAGTTAGGGGTGGAAATGAACCAAATAATTAACAAATAGTTCAATAACTGTTCATGTAACTATTCGGTCATATTCGATTCGGTAGTTCATTTACCACTAAACAAATATTTTTTAGTATTCAAGTTTACTAACGAATAGAATTTAACCAGATGTATATTCGATTCGTTTGTCTATCAACTATTAATTTAACATTTGATCACTTATAATTTGTATTATTGCACATATGATGTCATATTTTTAACCCACTTGCCATTTCTAAGTTTTATGCACTAATTTTAAGACTTAAATAATGTTAAATCTATTTTCTAATAAATTTTTTTATTTAAATATATATATACATCATATATTATAAATGAATAATTTTTATTTATGAATTTAAATACTATTTAAAAATCAAATTCTTTAGCAAATACCAAGTATTCGAGTTCGAATTCAAAAAACTCCGCATATGAGTATTTGAGTCCGCATTCGAATTCAATAATTTTAAACATACAAATATGAACACCTTAGTATTCGATTTGATTCGATCGTTTACCACCCCTAGTGGGCTCCACTCTCTTTTGAGTTAATGCTCACATGAGCTGGCCTATTTGATCTAGGGCTGAGATGCCACCAAGGTGCATCCTTGGATACAATCTATGGTGGCCCTTAGAATTCTTGAACATTTTCAGAGGGTGATTGCCAAAGTAAGTTTACTAGAATAGTTAGGGTTTCTTCAGTTAAGTCTAGCAATAAATGGTTACCTTCGCTTCAATTAAGTTTACTAAAGATAAAATTTCTAAAGCAGCTGATTTCATTCAACTACAAGATCCAGTGTGATCAATCATGGAGGATAAGACTTCTATTTCATATAATACTTAAGTTTGGCTTAATATCAACAATCACATGATCACTGTATAAAAACCCAATTGAACATGCAACTCAATGTCCGAAATTTCATCATGAATTCCTCTCTTCCCAACTCCAGGCACTTGAGTAGCCTCCAACACTGACATGTTAGAGAACATCGACAGATATTCTGTAATGACAATCGGCAGCGAGTGCTACATTGATCGTATGATGATTGAGGACCATTGGTATTCAGGTTAATTTTTAGTTTCTTTGCTTTCATTCTTCCAAGTCTTTCTATTTAACCATTTTCAGGGTTGAGGGCTTCATATTGATTTTTCTTTTTTTTTGTTTCTTATCTCTAAATTGAGTGTTCATTTTGATTTTTTTTTTTTTTGTATTTTGGCTTGATGTAGGTTCTTCAAGTTGTTGTTGTTGGGCCTTTTTTTCTTCCAAATCTTTCAATTTGACTGTTTTTCAAGGGCTGATACTGATTTTTATCTGTGATCAGAATGGTCATTTTGAATTTTTTTTTTCATTTTTTTTTAATTTTTATCTTTTATTGACGTAGGTTCTTTAAGTTTTTGTTGGGTCTCGTGCTCTTATGGTCAGTGTTTTGCTTTTGACTTTGTCCAAAGTTGTCCTTTTTAAGAAAACTTCAGGGGGTGTTTCAATTTCGAGAACAATATCAATTAAGCCTTAGATACTACACGTTTGTGTTTTATCATTTCATAAGTTCCTTGATGTGCAGTCAGTAAGATATTAGATACTTTCTGTTCCCCACAATTTCAGCCTCATTTTCATTTGGCAGATTTTACTTAAGACATTTAGTCGGCTTCGTGTTTATGTTATGGTTGAAATGTAATTAGCTAATAAGTTGCAGATTTTGTCACCAGGTAGAACAATGTAGTATAAAAAGAAAAAAAAGAAGAAAAGAATAAATAGCTCTCTAATTTTGTTAGAATATCTCAAAGTAAATTAGATATGTTTACCCAATTACTTCAAGCTTAGATATGTTGATTATATCTCCTCTTTTTTCTATAAGTATATACAAATTCTTCAAATTTTGAATTGACTGCTTTTCAGGGGTTGATATTGATTTTCTTTTTCCTTTCTTTTGGTTTTTATCTGTGAATAGAATAGTCATTTTGATTTTTAATTTTAATTTTAATTTTTTATTGACATAGGTTCTTTAAGTTTTTGTTGGGCCTTGTGCTCTTATGGTCAGTGTTTTGCTTTTGACTTTGTCCAAAGTTGTCCTTTTTAAGAAACAAGTTCAGGAGGTGTATCAATTTCGAGAACAATATTCACTAAGGCTTTAGATACCACACGTTTGTGTTTTTATCATTTCATAAGTTCATTGATGTGCAGTCAGTAAGATATTTTCTGTTACCCTACGGTTTCAGCCTCATTTTCATTTGGCAGATTTTACTTAAGACCTTTAGTCGGCTTCGTGTTGATGTTATGGTTGAAATGTGATTAGCTAAATTGCAGATTTTGTCGCCAGGTAGAACAATCAAGTGTAAAAAGAAAAGAAGAAGAAAAGAATAAATAGGTCTCTAATTTTGTAAAGATAGCTCAAAATAATTTAGAAAAGTTTACACAATTACTTAAAAATTAGATATGTTGATTATATCTCCTATTTTTTCTATAAATATATACAAATTCTTCTACTAGAACAGTAGAGGGAAGATTTAAAATGTCTCCCACCACATATTGCCATGGGATGTTGGGGCTAGCCAAAATTTTGAAAAGGCAATGTTTGTAAGGAATAAAGTAAGTGGTGGGTCACACTTGAATATATTGTGGAGAATGTTAGATCTGTACAACTAGATTAATGGAAAGTGTATAATCCAACCAATATTTGTGTGTCTAAAGTCTGAAATTTCCACAAATAGGAAAAAAAATCTAAAAGACGCAACAAAAAAAAGTAATTATTTCTCATGAGTAACTACCTACTAAATATTTCCTAGTAATTTTAGTTTTATATAGATCTTAATGTTCCAACCTCCAGGCTCATCATTGTCTAAGTCAAGCAGATACACATTACATGTTGACACAAAACAGCTGACCATGTTCTACAATCAGCCGTTAACATGTTGCTAACTTGATGCCAAATTCTGTCAAGGAAATACGAGTAACTGTCTCGTCGCAAACCTTAGAAGGCCACCAGAAAGGTTGAGAAATCTAAATTATTAGGTATGCAGTTTAAGCCATATCTGGGAAACGCAGTATTATACAATATGGGATGCACTAAACTTCATGAAGCAATGCTTGATACCAGTGCATCAGCATTGCTGTGCCACTTAGCAATTGAGCACTTGTATGCTACTGAATATAAACTCTACATTCTTAAAGTTTAAAACAAATGTGTGCAAATATATCTGCATTGTCCTTGTATCAAGATTGACATATGTATCTGCCTCCTTGTATCAAAACTGACATATGTATCTGCCTCATCAAGCACCAGTGTCTCCTTTGGCAAGTGTTTTATAAGCTTTGTTTTTTAAAAAAAAATTCTCCAAGAAGGCAAGCTATAGCTTCAGAAATAGACCTTCGGGCATATTTGGCAATGCACTAAACTTCATGAAGCAATGCTCGATACCAGTGCATTAGCATTGCTGTGCCACTTAGCAATTGAGCATTTGTATGCTACTGAATATAAACTCTGCATTCTTAAAGTTTAAATCAAATGTGTGCAAATATATTTGCATTGTCCTTGTATCAAGATTGACTTGTGTATCTGCCTCATCAAGCACCAGTGTGTCTCCTATGCCAAGTGTTATATAAGCCTTGTCTTTGTAAAACAATTTTTCCAAGAACTATAGAAAGACAAGATATAGCTTCAGAAATAGACCTTCGGGCATATTTGGCAACCAGAAAGTAAATGGAAAGTGGAGAAAAATTGGAAAGTGACTCCACTTTCCATTTTTTATGTACACTTGGAAAGTGTTTGGAAAGGAAATAGAAAGCGGAGCTCGCCATGTCAACATTTTGACCCTTTTCACATTCTCAATTTCTTCGTAAGTGGATGGGAAGTGTTTTCTTTTTTTTTCTTTTTTTTTGTTGGGGCGTGGGTGTCTGGTGGGGGGGATAATTTATTATTTATCCACATCCATTTCACTCTTCAGACCAATTTTCTTTTTCTATGTTCTCATCGTGATCTTCCCGCAAGAAATATAATTCCCCCTCTCAAACCAATAGGGTCATGCTCACAAACTTTTGATGATGTCCACTTTTTGCAATGAAAATCATTCATTTAATACAATACAATTTGCGTGATTTGATCAAAATCGAAGAGGATAAGCTACGTCCACATGGTAGGATAACTCAATATTAAATTTATGATGCCAAGAACCATTTGATGGATCTTCCTACACTTAATGGACTTTGCTTCTAACATCTGTAAGAGGCATGCAACTTTACAATTAAGTGACCTTGCTTTAACACATGTATTTCTTTATAACAGTTTGAAGATAATACTGTCAAGGGAAAGTTTACTGTATACCAGTTTCACATGTATTTCTTTATAACATTTTGAAGATAATATTTTCAAGGGAAAGTTTACTGTATATCAGTTTCTCTACACACACACATATCTATGTATGTATATATGTGTGTGTGTGTGTGTGTGTGTGTAATTTTTTCTTTCTTTATTTTTATTTTTTTTTTAACGAGCATCAGGATATTTTCACTTCTATATATGCATTCGCAGAAAAAGTCCCCTTTCTGCTATCTATTCTCCTAGAAAGCAAGCAATATATAAAGAAAAAAGGTGCCACGTTAGATGTCATCTCAGCTTTACACATTTCCACTTTATGGTTGCCAAACAAGATTTGGAAATAGAAAGTGAACAGAAAGTAGTTTCTTGACAGTCATTTATCTTCACTTTCTACTTTTTATTTAATTTCCGGTTGCCAAACGCCCTTCAGGTCGTAAAGGTTACTCCTTCAGAAACAAAATCGATAAAATTTGGCAGGCTCCTACATCCTCCCATTTGCATCAAACTCAGCATGTGTTCAAAAAACAGTATCTCTTCATAACCGGGAGCCTCTACCTAACAACCCATCAAGGGTATTTGAACTTCTCAGTCAACAGACTGGTTATATATATATATAGACACACACATAGACACAGACACATGCGCGCGCGTGCACATATATATATAATATAAATGAGTATCCTTGGTTACAAGGACAAAATAGGTACTTGATAGTGAGTTGGTCACTTCTATCCAGACATTTAAAAGTGTTCACTTGAAAATAGTCTCCACTCGATTACTCATCTATTAGATGAGTGGATGACAAGTGATCACCTCTCTACCATGTACAAAATTTTGTCATCCATATCAAGGATACCCATATTTCTATATACATAGAGATAATAACATCATATGAGGGAATTCTCTCATACAAAGTGATGTGTTCGAATCTCAGTCAAGTGAATAAAGAAGCGAAAATCTCTCGTAACCACACTTGCTGAAGATTCAACCACATCATTATACATGAGAGGATCCTCTCATGTGACATAAGATACTCATTAATCTCTTATGTGTGTAACTACTAAGTCCTAAACAACAACAAGAAATCTTCTTTAACCACCATTTTTTGGTCAGTTTCCCACTAATCCTTTTTTCCCTACATTCTGCTCTATTGAAGCCACCACAAAGTTAAATTAGTAACCATAAAATTCTTTTGTACTTCTCCAACCTACTTCTGTTTGATTTTACCCATTCAAACAGCTCTCTCAATTACCATGATTTAAAAGAATTCATATGGAGATCTTTCATATTTGCTCTCCTCTGAGGAGTGAGGATATAAATGACATTTAAGTATAGAGCAGATGGAGTTATCTGTGTGTGAAGCTAGAAGCATTCAGATACCAGGAACTACATAAGTAGAAAATAGCTGAATATAAACAGATTCTGAGTATACAATGGTAATGTTATGTTTGGATGAGCAAGGTGTGTGTGGGTTTGTGCATGGACAGCCTCTAATTGATAATTTATTGACCAGATAGATAATTTGGATACTATTGACATTGACAAGAGTCAAACCTCAATCTCACTCAACCAACTGTTCTCGTAGTAAAAGATAAAAACAATAACTAATTCACTACTCGTATTGCTAAGGATACCAGTGTGACATGAAGTAAAATCAAGCACAATGAAGGCAATAAAGGTTTCTTCACACTACTGCCACTTTTCTGGAAAATGCAGTGTATAGCAAAATATAGTCAAACTTATTATTTCTTGTTCAGCTAATACGAAGTTTTACCAGTGAAACAAGTGAGAACATAATCGTTTCACTCCATGTTAAGAGGTCTATTCAATATATAATAACTTTCCAGATTTATAACACAAAGAAATCATTAATCGGATATGCTTTAGAAATTGTTTTTTCATCATAGAAACAATGAGATTTTCCAAAGACTACCTCTCACAAGTCACAATTTAGAACAACAATGAAATTTTGGTAAAAGGAGAGATGAAGATATGCATAGTCTTACCGACAGAGGTATCTAGCCAATTTCAATGCAGCCTCAAGCTCAAAGCTCACAGTTGAAACCCTGGACAACAGCAAAATTAATTATACTTGTCAAAATTATGCTATTAGAATGAAGAAATGTGGAGGGAAAAAACTTAGCAATGCACATAGAAAAAAGAACATTGAAACACAAAGTAAGAAGAAAAAACAATAGAAGGCGGTGGTCGTGGTAGAAACACAATAAAATGCTAAAATATACAGCCAAACAATTTTAACAAAGATAAGGAAGGAGATATCATATTCTTGGAATGTATTCATAACAAATTTAACCAAACACTTATTGTATTTTCTCAAAAATATTTGCTCAAATATCCCATTTAGATAATAAATCAATATAAGAAAATGTAGCATCCAACATTGCTTCAATTAATTGAGATGTACAAAAATGTACAGTATGCAGTCTGACATGAAAAGTAAGCTCAAAGAATGTACACATTTAGCATTAAGTGTGGCTGACTATCCTGCATCAGCTCGTTGCTTATGAACCATTCGCTGATGCAACTGGCTTCATTGAGGGACATAAAAAACCTTCAATAAGTTGACTACTGCTGACTACTGAGGAAGGCTTAAGGTGTAGTATTCAATCAAGTCTTAATATCAATGTAAACTTTGTTTTCAAGCATGTAAACAAAGTTATTATGCTTAAGCAGGTAACATTTAACAAACCCTTTTTTGACGTGGTGAGTCCATGCAAGCAGTCCATTTTCGTCTAGGGCACTCTCAAGAATTAAGCAGGCAACTTACACCACTTAGGCCTAGGCATGTGCCCAATCCACTTTTTAAATCTTTAAAGGATAGTACGAAAAATGGTGGTCATTGTAGTTACGTTGTAGGGCAAGGAAATCAGGTGATAAGGGTGGAAAATTATACATAACAGAAACTAGATTTACATGAACAGTACACTTACGTAACGCATAGATTAGTTTTTTTCATTTTTCTGTGTCATACTGCCCATTTATTTCATGTTCAGTGACTGAATTATGATTAAGCAATCTTAAATGACAAAGGTTATAATTAAAAATATATATAAAGGTTTCACTATCAGCCAAAACCAATATGAGGTTAAAAATAAAACTAGATAAATAAAGGGTTACAATTCAGAAGGAAAGATCTACCAAAAGATACAGACTATGTCTAATACCTTAACAAATTGAAATTAGACTCTAGAAAATTGTTAGAGTTATGTTTAATCTGTTTTTAACTTCAATAGATTGCACCAGCTTTGTGTGCGGGTGAAGGGTGTGGATGGGGGTTGGGTTATTTTCTGGACGGTCGGTGAGGAAGCATTGGGGCATGGAAGAGATCTATTCAAACAATTGTCTTGTTGTTATTCCGAAAACAGCTGGATCCTCTCTAGAGACAGAAGCCTCTTCTTTCAGTTAATCAAATGTTACATTTAAATGAAAAGATGAATCAAAATCTAGTGTGGGGAAGGAAGTGTGTAACGTACTGCTCATAGGCAAATGGCCCGTTGACCATTCACTAGGGTATTACAAGGGCATAGACTCTCAGTTGACCATGTAAGCAAGAGCTCAAAAAAAGGCGAGTAGTGTGCTAAGGTGTTAGGAATTCGTGCCAATGTACGTTATATTCTCTGTCAGTTATAAATCATTCCTCGTTTTAGAAATAAGGGCAGCTAAGTTTTAGAAATAAGGGCAGCTAGAAATTCAAATGAAAATGAGCAGAAAGGACTCTAGAAAGTGGACAAATTAAAAGCCAGGCTATCAGACATTCAACATTTATACATGTTAAACATTGTAGCGCAATAAGCAAAGCTCGTTTAAGGTCCTGCTCCATATACTAAGTTATAGTACTAAGGTATAACCGTACGAGTATCGGAATAAAATCATATTTGGATTCTGATATTAGTCTCTTCAATGTGGCGCCTACTTCATATGGGTAATGGGTTGCTTCAATTAAAAATCATATCTAAAAGTAAGAAATATTACTGTATTCCCTAACTGTTCTTAGACTTTTACCTTTGTACCCTCACCTTCAACCTCCACACTTTTCTATCTTCTTCATTTCCAAAATACAGTAGCCAAAAGAGAAAAAAGAGGATAGGAAAGAAAGGAAACAAAAAGAAAAGGAAAAGGAAAAGGTTGTCAATGCTACATCCTTCTCCATCACTCTCCATCTATCCAGCAACCCACTTTTCCAGCCTTTCTGTACCACTTTTCCATCTCTTCCTACTGAAAAAATTATGATTCTTCTTATATGGTTGATCCACCTATGTTTTTTTAATATCAAAGAAGACCATTTGAAGAAAATCTCCTTGGAGTTACTGGATGCGATCTCAGTCAAGAGGCTAAAACATATCCTTGATCTTGGTGTTAAAAGGTCCTCTAGTAATCTAAATCATGAAGATTCCATCTTTAATGGAGAAGTTTCCATAACCAATTCATGCATGAAATTGAGGCCATTTTAAAATAAGGATTCTTTAACACCACTTTTAACGTCATAGTCTCTTCCAAACACACCAGTGGAGAGAGATATTTTCTCAATCGAATTTAGCATCAAAGCCATCATCAATGTGATTGGTTTCTTCATATTTTATGTTGTCAAACATGATCAGTGAAGAGAATTGAAAGATGGAAGTTAGGTTAGAAATCTAAATTTATGATAGAGGAATCAGGCCAAGTCAAAGGATATAGTGGTCATTTAAAAAATCATAGTTATTCCTTACAATAGATGAGTTTTCGTATGGTGAATGTAATACAGTATCAATTGTCATGGGGGACTAATATGTAAGTATGAATTTGTACGGGACCAGTAGCCAATATCATTTTTGTAAATCGTCAAAACCCTTCAAGTAAATGAAAAAGCACAAGCAGAATAATAGGCCATTTCAGCCAAACATGACCAAGCGCAAGATGGAACAGCCATACTGATAGTCTGATAACGATTTCGAGTATGCAGAATAGTGGTGATAGATTCTTACATGATAGGTAACTTTGATACGCTAATTTGTATCTACAATGTAAAAACATCAAGAAATTAGTCAAATTTTTACTCACTGTGTCTAACAAAGTAGATGAATTCTTGATTGGAGTTAATTTTTTTCCCCAAATTGATTATTTGGGGGTATTTTTCCAAATACATAGATTGGGTGGCAGTTTAACAAATGTGCATGATTTAAGGGGTATATATACACAAAAAATGCTATAATTAATTTCCTATTCTGGTTATTTCTTAGCCTGGCATCAGTTTTTTACATTGACCTGGAGTCTAATCTACCAAAAGGAAAATTTCAAACCTCTCTTTTGAAATACAGATGACTAGATATAAAGAAAAATCTGTACGGTAATTGCATATGTGCTAATAACTTGCGTCCATTATTGACATATACAATGCTATCCACATGCCAAAAGGTCTCGCTACAGTAATGTTAGGAATGAATGTCATGAGCCTAAAATAGATGTAGTAGAGATGACAGTTTTGCAATAGATGCACCGAGAAAAGAAATAAACCATCTTAAACCACATATAAAGAAGAAAATGAGATGTGGAAATCGGTACAACTATAATGAACTCTTTAGCTGCAGTGAGAATCAAAGTAACGTGAGGAAATTGGTTGACCGAACAGGCAGGAATACATTGTTTAACAGAAAAAGTGCACCTCTAACTAAATGAAGTACGGATAATTTATGAAATTATATCGCTTATATAGTATTTTATATTACAAGTACAAGAATAATAGAGCTAAAATTGCTAGTGAAAACAAAAACATATGCAAAAGGCAAAAGCTGGATAAGTTCATATCATAAGAAAGGTGATCATTAACTACCGTTGTGCATTGTCTTGTAAAAATGATCTCCGATAAAGCTGAATGACATTCAAATACCGATATTTCACCTCATTCTCTAACTCATAATCTCTCTGATCCTTACGGTCCATCTGAACCAATACAAAGCATATACGTCAAGTTAGGGGGAAAATTATAAAACAAAGGGAAAAAATACTTCCAGTCCAAAGCAACAGGTAAGTCTGATTTGGTTTGAATAACATAGTGGGAACTTTTACGCTGTCAAGTTGAACGAGAGATAAATCTCTAATTAACCTTATACGCAAATATAGTCAGCATTGACGTGCAACTGAAAATCAGATCAAATTCCAACCTATTGAGCTTGAAGTAGTACGTACCAGTAAGGCGCATACACTACCCTCGAGGGCGCCCGCATGCCAGAAAACATCATTAGTTAACCTAGCAAGATCTATTGCTGTAGAATAATGGGCATTTGCATCAACAGGTGATCCAGCCAACAAACAATAGTCTCCTATGGTTTTCTGAGCTCGACCAAGCCTCCTTTTCTTAGCTTTAATCACCTGGAAATTCAAACTAAGAGATCAGCTTGCAGTTCATATATGATCCTGATGAGTATAACAAAAACTGGTCAACACTCAAGAAACACCTAAAGAATAAACCTCCTCTGAGCCAAGACTGGATTGAGAATCTAAGGGTGTCTTCAAAATAGTCCCTGTAGATTCTGCACGAAGCACCCATTTCTCAAACTCCATCAGTAACGTGGCAGCAAGATCTTGCACCATAGTGAGCATATGGAGCTCCTGTGCATTTTGGTCAGCAGGAGGAAACAGTATCATACTGCTTTCTTTTTTACGACCCTCTTCTAACTATCTCAAATAACAAAAAAAAATGGTATTAGTAAAACTTTTAAATTATACGTTGATAAAAACACTCAAATTTCACAATGAAACTGAAGATAAGAGCTGCTCCTGAAAATATTTAAGATGGTTGATCCACAGATAAGTAATTGACAACGTAACTATCGGCAGCAAGGAAAAGAAAGTGTAAAACAAACCAAGTCAATAATCAGTGTTTTAAATGTCGGCCAATATGTCAGATTTAGGGGCCAACCGATACGATATGAAGCTTTTCAATACGTATTGCGTTTTCAGAGTTCATGTCAGATATATTGAGCGACATGTCGGATATCGGGCGAATATGTCGGGTGATATTGTTGGCCTTTTTGTTTTGATGATGTTTTAACAAACAATTTATAACTAATGTTGTTTGTCTAGTGTTTGTATTTTTGTATTTATTCTAGGCAAACATGTTGGAGGTTTGATGGAATTGTGCTTCAACGATCATATCCAATGGAGGTTGGTGGAATTGTGGTATGGAGCCTTGCAATTCAAGTTAAAGATTCAAGTTCAAGCTTCATCCGCAAGTGTACCAAGTCGAGCTCATTGAAGACCTTCATCAAGCTTGGGTATATAGTTTATAGTGTTTATAGTATAGGTTTATACTTGTGTTAATACTTTAAGCTCATATTAATCACACACACGTATTTGTTGATTTTATCAAAATAGGTGTTTTTGTGAAAATGTTGGTTTTATAGACTTCAATATCACTTTATACATATAGTCTATAAAATTATTTTGTAAAGTTTCAAAACATGATTTAGCTAAAATATCAAAAACAAGTGTTGTTTATTTTCATGTTTTGGACTATTTTGAAAACTGATGAGATCATCAGTCGACTGATAAGGGTCGTCAGTCGACTGATGAGCTGGAAAATGCTTACAACGATCAACTCATCAGTCGACTAATGAAACCCGTCAGTCGACTGATGCTATAATGGCTAGTTTTTTTTTTAGTCTGTTTTAGTTTTGGGTTTTAGGTTTTTGATTTTTTTTGCTTTGTTTTTCTTATGTTTTGGGGTCTCTATAAATACCCCTCATACCTCAGACCAAAAACTATCCAAGAAAGTTTTTAAACAAGTTTAAAGGGTGTTTAAGTTTGTTTTAGTGTTTGTTTCAAGTTTAGTTTGTGAAGCAACTTTCACAAGAGCAAAAAGAAGATCATCCTTTGGTGTTTGAGCATTCCCTCTTCTCCCTCTCTCTTATTATCTATAGAGAAGTTTCCTTAAACTCAATTCTAGCTATTTATTGTTTTGATTCTAATTTCCATAAGCAGAGAAGTTTCCTTAAACTCAATTCTAGCTATTTATTGTTTTGATTCTAATTTCCATAAGCTAGATTTCATTATTGAGTTTCTAGCTATTTATTGTTTTGATTCTAATTTCCATAAGCTAGATTTCATTATTGAGTTTAATTGTTTTATTTTTACTCTTTATTTACACACACAATCATTGAGCTTATTGTATTTTCATACATAGTATAATTTGGGTTGTGGGGATAGTGTGATTTAGAGTGTGAGCTTTCATTATGTTCTCATCCATAGTAGAGAATAACCATTGTTGTATTTGTACTTAATTTGTGAGATAACTTTGTAATATACTTGTACACCGAGAGAAGTGTGTGGTGAGAGACGGGATCGTCCCAAAAGAAATGGGGTAGGTGGTAATACCTAGAGGAATGTTATAATTCCTAACACTTGAGGAAGACACGGTATAGAGATCAACACTTAGAGGGTGTAAAGTGGGATTGCAAGAGTGTGAAATTGTAAAGTTTTCGGTAAACTAGAAAATTGAGTGTGAAGTGTAAACGCTATTCGAGTGAGCGTAGAAAACCCGGTTGTGATAGTGGAGATCTCCTCGATGTGATGAGCGGAGACATAGGTCGTGTGGACCGAACTCCGTGAACATATCGTCTGTTTGTTATTGCATTGACGCACTTATTTTTATGTTCGTATCTTATATCGCCTTTGTATATTTCTTGTTGTTTATATTGTCCACTATCTAGTTTAGATTGTTTACCCTTGTGATATTTGTATATCCTTGCATATATATCTTGTTGCATATCATATTTGCTAGGATATTTGTTAGTAATATTTAATTAGCATTTAAATTGGATTAGATTAGCATAAGCCCTATTTCCCCCCCCCCCCCCTCTAGGGTGTTTTCAGATATATCAGTTATGTCTGTCGATTTTTTAGTCTGAAAAATTGGCTGATTTTATTATTTTTTATTATTATATTTATCTAATCAGATTTGGGCTTAAATTCTTGATTATCTTAATATTATTTCCAAAGACAAAAACCGATAAGTTAAGGAAAATGGAAAAAAGGACCGAAGTAATATCCATCGCTCATCTTCTCTCTCTCTCCTTCGACATCTCATTGGTTTCTTCTCCAAGCTATTCCTTCGACATCAATATCGAGCGATCTTCTTTTTCTTAACCGCTAATATCGAAATCCTCTTTTCTCACCTCTTTCCTTCAACATCAACCCTAATCATCATAAGTTATTCACTTTTTTATATGTTTAGACAATAGAATTTTTAAGTCTGTTTAGATTTTATATATGATATTTATATTATACATATGCACACCATCTGATATGGTAATCCGATATTTTTTCATGTCCCCCCAACATATCCCCGATTTCAGCTATCCGACATGAATTTTAACCATCCGACATGAACACGACATCCAACATTTAAAACATTGTCAATAATAATATACTTCCTTCAGACAGCTCCTGTACCAACTGTGAAATTATTTGCCAAATTTTGACCACAGAAAAGATTAAAAGATAGGTCATGACAGTGGACTGTGTTTGAAAATTATATCTCAACATTTTATAATTTTATTGGTATAAAATATCCTCAAACTATATGCAAATTTAAAATAATTCAGAAGTATAAGAAATGCCGAATTAGTTGGATATATTTCTGTGCTTCTGTAATATATTTAGTTCATCTCCTACACTCATGACAGGATACACGCAGATATTAACTATTTACCAGTGAACCTGTGTTTCCTGTCCATTAAATTAAACTGAAATTTGCCAAAAAATTTACACTGATCAGGAAAAATTATGAAGATGCCCAAGTTATGAAGACCCAATAATGAAGATTACACAATTTTGAGGTTTTGGTGTTCGTACCTAAAACTATTTCAGAGTGTTTAGGATTTAAGTCCAGCATCACAATTTCAGCACATAAACTTAAATCAAATCGATGATTTGAATCAGTCGCATAGCCAGGACCTGGAGCTTAGAGGGGGCACACTCTTGTTGCTTTTCTTGAGAAAATACAGAAATTACAATATCTAATTGCGTTCAGTAATTTCAAGATTCTTTTAGAGAGAGAATAGGGTCTCGTACTCAAAGACCCTAACCAAATGCTATATAAGAAATAATTGTTCAAAAAAAAAGAGTACTCACTCCTCCAAAAGTAGAGTCAGATACTACCAGCTCCCAAAAAAATAATAATATCAAACTTGAAAATGATATTTAAAAACTACAACAATGACTTGACATTTTCTAAATTGTTCCATAATCGCATCATTACTAATAATATCAAAAACATCATTTAATATATATTATCAAGCAGTCATTCATCCAAAAATCTCTCATGAGATTTTGCGGTTTAGTTTTCATGATATTTATAGCTGAAATACTCTCTAACCACTTTCAATTGCGACATGCAAACTTGGCAAGCTTGTAAATAAAGGGATAAGCAACACTTTTCTTCCTCTCCACTTCTTTTCCATGCCTATAACAAAGTATAAATGACACTAATTACGCTAACGTTATGCTTACAATTTTTCAATACTTAATTCAATACTTTATGTGCTTTAGATTCTTCTCCCTTTATCTTCTAAAATCAAGTTTAGGAAACCCTCTAGTCTCATTGAAAGAAAAGAGTGGAAGTGGTAAGTTCCATAGGCCCAGCAAAAGATGAGCACAAAATATTACATCACCTTATAAACATTGAATACTAGTGCCAAGTTCAACACAGGCAACTTTTCTTGTTTGGGGGGGTGGGGGTGGGGGGGGGGAG